CTAAATTTTTGTATCTGTGTGCCACTTTTCAGCTCTCAACAAACGAGGGTACTTTAAGGAGACTGTCCGCACAGTGAAATCCAATTCAGAGGCCCTTATAGCAAATAAGAGGGGTGGTCATGAGGGACGGGTCCTTTTCAGTGGTGGCACTTGGTACACAGAACTGCCCTTTCCTACTTTCAATGGGTAAGTTTTATATATTTATTTAGAAGATTTTTTAAAACTCTGCCCCTTTTACCAAAACAGCATTCCTATACAATGAAACAATACAGTATTAAAAGCAGCAAGCAAGTAAAGCACCCACAGTCCATTAATGAAAGCAGGGCATTAGAGCCAATCTTAAAATCCAGTAAAACGAATAAAACAGTAAATACACGTGGCAAAATTGCAGAAATGCTCTTCAAAAGCAGGGGACAAAACATGTACTTAGCTATAGTCTGCAGAGTCAGACAGCTATTGGGGAGTGTTCTCCAACTAGCCAACGGCTCATCAGATTAGTAATGTTTTAACGGAATGCTGGCGAGCCAATAATAAGCAGTCAAGCATGTATACAGTGGCAGGGAATTCCATAGACTGAGGGCAATAATGGAAAAGGGCTTGTCCAGGGCTTTTCTTCTGGGGCAGCGTGCATAACGGAGTTCTGGAACCTCTTCAACAAAATGCTTTTAAAAATGTTTAAAAGTTCATGAGTTTTCAGTATACAGATTGAAAACTGAGTTTCGACAGCCCTTTAAAAAAACAACAACACCCTCTGGGCTTGTCACAGGTGTCTATGAGTCCCGCTTTGTGGTGGCAGCTAATCATGGATCACAATCAGGAGGGGAGCAGTGGTCGCTCTGCTACCCTTGGTTTTGTTACCTTTAAAGCCATTTACTGCTTGACGATACTCCAGCGTTTTGAATTGAGCTTGGCAGAATTCTTATCTGGCCAGGCTTTTGGAGACTATCTTATGAGTTTGCAGCTGCTTTTCCTTTCTCAAACTGCATCTCATTGCTGCTAAACGAAATCATATACTTAAAAAAAATCTGGGTATGTTTATCTGCTGCTAAATGTAACCCCTTTGCATTCTTACGGATACATTTTTATAGCTTTTGTTGTGTTGGTTTTACTGATTTAGAAAATGCTTATTGATTTTTTAAAACATTGGTACACCGACTTGAGTGGTTAGGAAGCGGGTAGATCAATAAAATTCAACATGAAAAAATAATTTAAAATCAGTAAGAGTTGACTTGAAATACCAACAGAGGGGACAGAGATGCAGATTGTTCCCCCAGTGCTCCATTTTTAGCTGCCATCAAAGTGTCAAAGTGTGCTTGGCAAGGAAGTTTTCGAAGACGAGGCGCTGCCCCAGGAAAGGTGCCGCTGTCCCTGACTATCCCATGACCTTTAAAACTGAGGGAAATCTGGAATATGTGGTGATATTACAGAAATGGACATTTTCCTATGTGGGGGCCAAAGATCCTGCTCATATCCTGGTCCCAAATGGTTTACAGACCTTTTTAGATCAAACCCAGCAATCGTCTTTGTGCCTGGAAACAAAATGGAAGCCGGTGGAGATCTTCTAACAGAGACAAAATTGGTTTGGGCTGCCTGTTCTTGTCTGCTTCTGGTGGTGGAAAAAGCCATGGAGTCGCAGCCAACTTATGACAACCCCGTAGGTTTTTTAAGGCAAGAAGCGTTCAGAGGTGGTTTGCCATTGCCTGCCTCTTTGTAGTGGCTCTGTCTTGACTTCCTTGGTGGTCTCCTGTCCAAATACTAACTAGGGCCGACCCTGCTTGGCTTCCAAGATCTGACACGTTTTGGCTGGCTCGGACCATCTGGGTCAGACTCGGGGGCCAGGGCACCTCTGCTTCTAGCTCTTATTCTTGTTCTGAGTCCTGGGTGGTGCAGTGGGCAGGATTTGTCCCCATTTTGTCTCTGTGTGCTTCTGATTGCATCCCTTCCAGCAATATGGCGTGTGGCTTCTAGCTCTTATTCTTGTTCTGACTCCCGGGTGATGCAGATGGCAGGATCTGTCCCCATTTTGTCTCTGTGTGCTTCTGTCCCAGGGGCTGGGGCTCTTGGAAGAGGCAGCCGTAGATCCCCCCAAGACAGAACGGCCTCTGTTGGACACCATCAAGATGCCAATCCACAAGGAGTCCCTGGAGGAGGGAGACAAGGAGGCCGATTTACCAGGTAAGGGTTTGTGCATTTGAATTGTTGTGTAGACACTTTGAGGGTACTCATTTGCATATTAAGCGACACACCCCTAATGTAGCCAATCCTCCAAGAGCTTACAGTAGCTCCTGTAAGAAGAGCTCTATAAGCTCTTGGAGGATTGGCTACATTGGGGGTATGGCCTAATATGCAAAGGAGTTCCTGCTACAAAAAGAGCCCTCAGTGAGGCTGTCATCATGAAGCCTCTTTTTAAAAAGGAAGTTGTATCTTAAGGTACTTTGGAGGGGGATGCTAGAAGAACCAGTACACAAAGAGAGTGGTAGGCAAAGATTGCTATGTGGGACAAAAGGGCTTGTTGGAGTTGCTTTTCAGAACAGGAAATGATAGAGATGAATAGTTGCCAGGAATCCAAGTGCAAACCATGTGCAGATTTAAGCCAGTCTTATAAAACAGTTGCACAGTATGCTCCTGTGTGAATTTATTACTTATTGTGGGACCTCGTATGTTCCGCTTTCCTAATAAAAAGCTTGCAACAACCCATGTTTGAGCTGTGAAACTTTATAGTTAATCAACATGACAATTGTCACGTCAAGTTCCACTAATAGGCTCTCTTCATACTGGCTTTTGCTGATCTCTTGCTCTAAATTCTGACATAATTTGTCTCTGAGGTTATAAAAGGCTGCTGCTGTGAATGAGAGGCAGATGGGCGAGAGATGCTGTGAGAGTTATGGCGACGGAAGGGAACACCGGTATTTCTGTCACTGGGAGAATGTGGGAAAGGTGATGTTCTCTGGATAGAAAGCATCCTTTACAACCAGCAGGGAAAACACACTACTTCTTTGATGCATTAGCAGCCTTGATTGGAGGGTACATGTTCTGGTGGGCTTGAGCCCCAGGACCTGGCACCCGGATTGGCTAAGACCCCAGAAGTCTATGTGGGGAGGGGTCTGAAAAGGGGAGCTATCCCTTTGTGGGGGGGTTAGTTCAGAGGACCGTTGGTCAGTCCTTTGGGGGCTGTCTTTCCTATGTGTTTCTGCCATGAAGGAGGACAGAAGGGAACAATGCTAAGGATGGTTACAGATGCACCAAGAGGGCGGCACCGTGCACCCAATAAATGCCAGATATGCCACAGATTGCAAGTACCTAGTTAGTGTCCTTTTGGTTATTCTGCTTTGCGCACCGAGATCTGTCTTGTAGTACCCTGAGTTTGTGCCTTGTAGAAATCAAGGTGTTTAAAGAGGTGTCGAACTCATTTGTTATGAGGGCCGGATCTGACGTAAATGTCACTTTGTCAGGCGGAGCCACGTGTGCCATAAATGTAATGCCAGGTCCTGGAGATATAAACTGTAAGGCAGAAGCTGGTAAGCTCGAAGTTGGTTTATTCTGACTGCAAGGCCCCATGGGCTGGGGGGGGGGGGAAAAAAAAAAAACCCAAAGGGGCAACCCGGAAACCCGGCAGTCCA